TTCCCAAAATCTGACCAAACATTAGATTTTGTACACTATTTACATTGTTCCGACTATCATCTTCATCTCTGTTGCTATATTTATCACAACATTTCAGCCGTTGTATGCTACGGACTTCTTCAGTTGGTTGGAATGTCGAACTGAACTCTTTATTTTGCTCGCTGGGGTAGACTGTTCTAGTTCCAGGTGGCATGTCTAATAGATATCACTTATTGCCTGTTAATTCCCCTCTCCAAGTTCTCCATGCCTTAACCAAGTATTGAACTCACAACTCTTTGGGCCCTGTCACTGGATCTAACTAACACCTTTATCCACTGTGACACGTGTCCTTGAAATGTTGTGATAAATATGGCAATAAAGAGGAGAATGATAGTTCAAACAATGTAAAAAGTGTACATAATACCTCATCTCAGAAATATAGACACAATAGATTTTGTTTATTCAGTTGGCAGTGACATGACATTAAGTAAGTTTGTGACCATTGCAGTTGTCCTAACGATATACCTACCCATTTTTTACATCTGAGGCAGGGGCTTTTAAAGCAAAATTTCATATTACCTAGACCTGTCACCTCACTCTGTTTGCCTAGAATTGGCTCACTCTGAATTAAAATTGAGATTTCTTTTTTCCAAAGCTAAAATCACCATTGAAAGGGAGATTTCTTTACTGTAGATGAAATTAAGGAGAATGCAATGTGCCAGTTGATAGTTTAGCATCCCGTTACCACTTTCTTATCAATGTTGAATTTTGTGCAAAAAAGTGGATCAGAGAGCCTACTCAGCTTAGTAAATATTTTTAGGATATATCAGCTTCTAATTGGTCAATAAACACACAAGTGGGCGTTGCAATCCACCCATGTACAAATATTTTTCCAGAGTGTGACCAAATCAAGTTTTGTGCCAATTTGCTGTGATCCTGTCACATGATTATATTATCTGTAAATAGCAGACAAGAGTTTGCTCATTCTCTTTTCTCTCTCTCTTCTTGCTGCAAGATGTAGTCTCAAAGGGATTCTTGTCTTGATCATGAGTGATCAGACTTTAAAAGCATATTCACGCACGCACACATGTACATACGTACAAACTTTTCTAAACTACATTACAAACATACAGAACATTTCCAAACAAGCAACAAGAACTTTTCTCTTTGAAATAATCTTCTCAAGTTTATTCAGCATTTTTCAGCTTTATAATTAATTCATTCAAATTTTGTGAGTTCAGATAAAAATATTTCACAGTCAAAGGGCCATAACACTAAAACTTGATGTATGTACATCATTTACACAAAAATAAATACGTTGTTTGTTATTACTTCTTATATTTCATGTTTTGTGGTATTTTACATCATACTTATTATAAAACACAGGTTGTGTGTGTGTGTGTCTGTACGTTTATATATTGGATCGGATTTCCTACATTTTTCAACCGATTTCAACAAAACTTCACAGGACTGCGTAAAATTACCTTGCAGTGGTTCTGACAGCACCAAAAATTGGAAAAACACAATTTGCACGAAATCAATTTGAAAACATGATTCTGTCGCCAGAATGAAAGGGGGACAACTCATATCGAGTTATACTTATTATAAAACCCAGGTTGTTTGTGTGTGTGTTCGTTTATATATGGGATCGAATTTCCTACATTTTTCAACCGATTTCAACAAAACTTCACTTTTTTTTTTTTTTGGTAGTGTTTCTTATTGTCTTGCACACTTTTTTCTTTATTTTTACATTCAGAATGCTTTAAAAATTTAATTTACAAGACAATTGTTTACAATAAAATTCTATTCAATTGGTAGACTCATAACGATTGAAAACAATGTTTTTGTTTGAGTTTGGGTTTGACCAATTCGTAAAAAAAAAAAAAAAAAAAAAACTATTTAAGACATGCGTGTCCGTCAACTTTAAACAATAATCTTTGTCAATTTTATTTTTCAGTCTTTATGATGGTCGATACTTGATCTATCTCTTACTGTTACATCCCTGAGCAACACCGGGCTCTACTGCTAGTCAAATATAAATTGTGTGGTCATGTTATTCATGCAGCCATAGACAGACATCTACAAACCATTCATCCATATCAACATACCACAACAATAGTAATTTAAAAAAAGGAACTGTTTTGAAAAGTGGAAGGAATGTTTGGATAAATGTATGAGGTCCTATAAGAAATTTAAGCTGCTTGAGCATTTAGTGTCTGCTTTTTTGAGAGAAGGCTGATGTTGCATTGGGCTCTTGATTAATTTTTGAATTTCAAAAATATTTTTGGTACAATTCAATTTGTGGGAAAACAGCTGCATTTGTTTTTTCATCCAGAAACAATCAAAAGGTTTCCCTCCAAATTTTGAAAAGCGAATTTGGAGCCTAGCTATAGGTTATAAAAGGGGGCCTTGGATTTTTAATTCAAGAAGTCAATGAATATCTACTGCTGGAACCCAGGTTGCTTTGGTCCAGAAATAAAAACAATACAGAAGAAATTTGACAGATGAGAATTTAAAAGTAACATCAAAATCACTCCAACATCAAGGAAAAGTCTTCAACTGGTGTGATTGTTCTATTCTTCACTGTTACTATGAACTTTACTTTGGAAATTGTACCAATTCTTTGAAAACTATTCTGAGAAGTATTTTCTCCTTTTTTACATTTTATATGTAGTTTTCTTTTCTGGGGACTTTATGCAACATTATAATTTTATTGCAATAAGGACATATTTTATTTACATCAATAAAATTTACATACATGTTATTGGCCATCATTTGGCACACAATGCTCTTAGTTTGTGTAATTTATTCATTATTTTGTGTGTTAACAAAAGATTTATCATTTGTTTTTAAGTTTGGCTAGTGTCATCTGCCTTTTGTTGTGTTTCCATATAAATTAAATGTTACCTTAAACATTTGTTTGAACTATTTTTTGTAGTTTTTTTACCAAATTTATCTTGTAATTTTGAACTGAAAATTTTTTATTCACTTCATGATGGAGGGGGAGGGCAGATTATTTTCATTCAGCTTTCTATGCAAGGGAATATTTCATTTATCCCCATCACTCTTACTCACTTTTGTGTTGTCTGTTGGTTTCTTTCACTAAACCAGAATATGTAACTACTTAGCACTACTCGACCCAGGGATTGAACTCACAACTGTTAAAAAGAGAAGGTCATGTAGTTTAGTGAAGTGAAAGAAACGGACAAATGATACGAAGCTAAAATAAGCCTGCTCTGTATACTGATTATGAAATATTCCTTAAACACTGAAAGTAGAATGACAACACTCTACCCTTATTTGTGGATTGACTAAAAAGAGTTCGGTTTGAAATTCCACAAAAAAATTAAAAAAGGTTACCTAGTACAACGACAGATGTTCCAACGAAGGCGGAAGAGTGCAATGACCATCTGCATAATACTGGTCTGAATAGTAATGCATTGGTTTCAAAGATTTAAAAACCACTTACTAAGAGGCGCCTTCACAGATTCCTGACTAAGGCGGCTAGGCTCTACCCGGGACCCAACTTAGCAATATCTCCTAAACGGTAGAGAGCTTCCTTAATTTTTATTACTATATTTTTGTAATAATCATGCTTTTTTTAGATCAGGAATAATATATTTTTTTTTTTTTTTTTTTTTGGTCATGGAGGCATTATCTACAAATTTATCGATTTGCTTTGAAAGAAAATGAAAAGATTTTTACATCACCCAAACAAAAGCAAAAACAGTTTTTTTTTATTTCTTAATATAAAAAACGGAATTTCTGGATTTCTCAAAGTTATTTTTTTTGTAATCTTAAAAAATAGATATAAAAAAAAAATATGTGAATAAAAAAAAATCATTATATCAAATAACTTTTTCCATTTTTTTTTTTCTTTAAAGGAATAAAGTTAAGTAGTACATTACACTTACACAGCAGCATTTTTTTTTTTATTGGAAAAGATTCTGAATTACCCATTTACTTTTTAGAGGAGAAAAACTAAAAAGTAATTCTATGCAAGTTCAAGAAATATTTAGTAAAAATTGGTACAAGTCGTTAGTTGATAATATCGATTATCATCAGTTTTTTGTTCAATTTATTAGCTTAAAAGTTGCATAATCAGAGTGTTGTAGCGTACAATGTACATCATCTGAGATGATTGTTTTGAGACTGAAACGAAATATTTTGATTTTTAAATTAGAATTCAATTTAGCATTAACTAATTTTTTAACCGTGTCTTTTTCAATCTACATTTTTAACCACCGAAGAATAAAAAAAACTAAAGTAATTTTAAAAAATAATAAACAAAAAAAACTCACTGGACCTTTTGTGAGGTGTAGAGGGAAGAAATCCGCAAGTAATTGTTCCCATTCCAAGTTCGTGTATCGATATTTATTTATTTATTTTTAAAATTTCTTTCATTAATGATTTATTCTGGATGATTATGTTTCAGCTTAGAAATTGCCAACGTTCCGCCTCTAGAGAGAATTGTTGAGCTTTTTTTAATCGCAAAAAGCTACAATGTTATTGGGATTAATAAAGTCGGTGAATGTTTAGCAGACAGACAAAAAAAAGAAGAAGAAAAGAACAATGACGTAATAAACAAACATTAAAAAAATAATATTTTAATCTTATTGAAATAAAGGATTTTAAAGAGGAAATCTGGTGCGATAGTGAGTAATAAAGCTACTGGACGGTTTTCCAAGTCCGACTACTCCCGTTAGATCTTTTCAGCATTTGTAAAGTAAAATGCGGTCTGGTATCAATAAAAAAAAAAGTTTTTTAGGAATATTTTCAAATGCTGAAAAAAAAAAAAAAATAACTGAAAAAAAAATGTAAATACATGTAATACTGAGACAATGAGATATTATATTTTATTTTAATCGATTCCTTAAACGGAAGCTAAGAAACCAATTCAACATTTATGAAGTAAAATTGAAATATAATAAGGAAGCGTGTTTTGGACTACTATATTCCTCGTATTTTTTCTCTTGGCAAGTGTCAGTCACGTGGTTTTGTTTGTCGATTTCAAGGTCAATATGGCGGCAGCAGCGGCAAGTATCTCCCGTTCGGGCCTTTATGAAGTGTATTTTCGACAGCAATGGTGTTGGGTCTACGTTTCACTGACCGAGGAATCCCTTGTGCTGACATTGGATGAGAACCCAGACGTGTCAGCTAGTGCCAATGGTGTGAGCAATGGCGTAATAGACGAGAAATGTATCGGCGGACCACAGGATGGATTATCGTCACAGCCTATGCTCCGTAATGTCGTCGCCGGGGCTTCGGGATCCAGCCTTCCTCCTCATTTACCGGATGGCATTACAGGACAAAAGAGGGTGGTCAAGGTGATCAAGGAAGAAGCTAACGGATTGGGTATCAGTATTAAGGGCGGTAAAGAAAACAAGATGCCGATTTTGATTAGTAAAATCTTCAAGAGCATGGCCGCTGACAAAACTGAAAAGTTGTATGTTGGAGATGCAATTTTATCTGTGAATGGCGAGGACCTTCGCGATGCTACACACGACGAAGCAGTCAAAGCCCTTAAAAAAGCAGGCAAAGAAGTTACCCTAGAAG